TTAGGGTTTAGGGTTTAGGAAGGATTTCTGGCCTATGCTTTGGTTTAGGGCTTCGGCTTCGGGGGAGGTTCGGAACTTTTTCCAGGGTCTCTACAGTTTAACGGGAAGGCTTTAGGGGACTCGGTTCAGATTGTTCCAAGGGTCCTTAAAGGTAAGGCTCGGGGTTTGAGGTTTAGAACTTGGGGTCAGATTTGTAGGACCCTCCAAAATTTAGTCATCTTATCTGTCTCACCCTGTCTGTGTACGAGTCAAAAGCTTTAGCAGGAGCTCGGGTTCAGAGTTTAGGTTTGGAAGCTTGTGGCTTGATATCGGGGGCCTATAAATAACTACCAATACTATTGTGGAGGGTTGCTTATTATAAGCATAGTAGGATATACCTCCAAACCCTAATCTTCTTGTTAAGGCCTCTATACTAGGTTTTGAGTCATGGTTTAGGGTCTGTGGTTTAGGATTGCTGCTTTCTTAGGGTTTATAAGGTTTAGGGTTNNGGTTTAGGGTTTAGGGTTGGACTGTAGACCCCGCGCTTCCTGCCATTCCGGCATGCGAGGTGAACAAAAGCCTCGGGGGCGTTTTCTTCCTGGACGAGGCCTGTGGCAGATCACAGCGGGTCTAAACCCTAAACCCTATACCCTAAACCCTAAACCCTAAACCGTAAACCCTAAACCCTATTTGTTACGAGTTTTGGTGGTTTCGGGTTTAGGTGTCTTCTGCAGGGTCCGGGATGTATGCAGTTGGCACGAGATTTGGGTTCCGAGCTCTACCTGTGGATCCAAACCAACTGTTTGCAGGGCTATCCCAGACTAAACCCTAAACCCTAAACCCTAAAGCCCTAAACCCTAAACCCTAAACCCTAAACCCTAAAGCCCTAAACCCTAAACCCTAAATCCTAGACTTGGGGGATCATCACCTACCGATTAGGGTTTCAAGGCACTGGCGCTTGGTACACGCAGGCTTTAAGGTTTAGGGCCATATCCCCTGCCAACGGTTTAGGGTTTAGGGTTCAGGGTTTAGGGTTTGGGGTTTAAGGTTTAGGGTTTCTGTTGATGGGCTCAGGATTTCCCCTAAACCCTAGAAGACCTAAGCCCTAAACCCTACAGGATTTGGGATGTGTTACCAGGCCTATTCGCTGGTGAACGGCGAGCGCGACCAGTTTGGCCACGAGGCGGTTGCCGCCTGGCGCTGACGAGTTTGAGGAATTAGGGTTTAGGGTTCATAGGTGACTGAAACCAGGACCACAGGGAACTGAAACCCGAATCAAGTTTGTAACAACCCTAAACCCTACACCCTAAAGCCCCATCAAGCTCAATGAACCTGTTGCTCGAAAGTGCCAAAGCAGTCTTGATCGTTTACCGAAGCTTTCATTATTAGCCCTCCCTAGGTCCTAGTTAATATAGGGGCCTTAATAATGAGAGTAGGGTTTAGGGTTTAGGGTTAGGGTTTAGGGTTTGGGAGTATCTTATACCATAACTATTATAGCAAGAAGCCCCAAAACCCTCTTCTAATTATTCAGGTCCCTACATTAGCCATGTGCCCTGCTCATCCGCACCGCCACGCGGGCTTCGTAGCTATGTCAGTCGAGACATCTGTTGAGCCCCATTGCACGCCACATGCTAACGTGTAGCAGTGTAGCACACCTTAAGGACGAAAAGAGCCCTAAAAGGGTTTAGGGTTCATAGACCATATAGGGATTCATAGTATGAGGGTATAGGGCCCCTAGTTTTAAGGTTCTTTTCGTCCTTGAGGCAGAAGAGCTGAAAGTTTGGAGCTGCCTTTAAGGACACCCTCATCAAGGAGATGGAGGACAAGCGCGCAAACTTCGTGGTGGCTCGGCTGCTGCCAGAAGGTTCACAGGGTAGGGTATGACATAGGGCTAGAAAGGGCTCCTTTTGGCAATTCGTGAGCGTATGTTTGGGTTTGATTGTTGGGATACCAGCAATGAAGACACCCCGTATCGTATGCTCAGGCAGGGCTTGTTTTAGTTCAGGCCTTCGGGTTCAGTGTAGGCAGATAAGGTTTGAGGTGTGAGGGTTTCTGTTTTGGCTTTACAGCTTGGATATGAAGTGCCAAAAAGCGGAGATCAGGTTCACAGATTGGCAGGAGAGTCTTTGAGGTTTTCTATCATGTTGAAAACCGCAACAAATACGCTACGCCATACACCCTAAACCCTAAACCCTAGACCCTAAACCCTAAACCCTAAACCCTAAACCCTAAACCCTAAACCCTAGACCCTAAACCCTAAACCCTAAACCCTAAACCTAAACAGGATACCCAACATAATAGGGCCCCTGTTTTTGGGGGGGAGCGCCCATGCTTCGCTCCTTGCCTTGTTGCGAACTCAAGCTGGGAAACTGAGCAATCTTAGGGTTGAGGGTTGAGGGTTGAGGGTTCAGAGGGTTTAGGGTTTAG